GGAGAATAATATATTTGGAATTCTGCTCTAAGAGTTATTTTAACTGGGGACATCGCCCTGGGCACCTGGGAGCACCAAATCTCTTGCCAACCCTAAGATGGCTCCCTTAATTAAGATGTGTGCTTCCCTGCTCCCCTATCCGACCTTCCCTTATCCCAAACATCCCGTTTAGGGGAAACTAATCTTAATGACACAAACATGAAGGAGAAACTGATCCGGAACTCCTGGGTATTTTTAAACCATTCCTGATGTGTGGTAGGCCTGAGAAAGAGAAAGGGGCAAGGAGGATGAGCAGAGAGAATGCATAGACCCCATCCTTTCCTCCATGTGGAGTCTTTGGTCCCATCTCAGCATGACAGACTCACTACTGTGTGAAAGCTCCTGGTTGACTTCCCTTCTGACCTGGGAAGGCAGGTACAGGGTGGGACATCAGGGGTCCTCCCTGTCTTTCCTCTCTACAGTGGATCACCCATCAGGATTCTCATCCCAGCCTTCCTGGGAAACCCACTTATACCATTGCCCCTACACACATGTGTAGAATAAGTCACTAAGCAGAGAAGATCTAGGGCTTGTCCTTCAATTAGAGGCTTCAGGGTGTATCTCTGGAATCCCCTGATAGCCCCTGGTAGTTCCTATGTCAGAGTAGGGACAAGAGACTTGAAGGATGAAGCTGTCCACAGCGTGACAGCTTAGGATAAGTCCTTTCCAGGGGCAGGAAGCTGAGCCCTATCCTTGTCATGGCTGGGGTACACTTGGCAAACCAGTGACCCTTTCTAAGGTAACTTTTTTTTCAGAAGGAGAAGGCAAGGACCAGGTGATCCCTAAGATGCTCACCCCTCTCTGTGTTGTCCCTAGAGGACCAGATAACCTCATCCCTCAGCCTATGATCTTATAGACCCCACCACACTCAAAGTCCCCAGGCTCCAGAGCTCAGTGGCAGGACCAGGCTCAGATGTTATGGCTTCCATCTGCTGACTTATCTCCCTTAGGCACATGGTGAACACTCTTTGACGAAATCCACCCCCATCTGTACAGCTCAGAGAGTCTGCCTCCCAGCCCCACCCTGAAAATGTCTTAAACCTTTTCTCAGCTTTAGGGCCAATGGTGTCTCCCATCCCTCCCTCTTTAGCTCCTCGGCATGGAAAAATGGGTACTTGCTTAGAAAGCATGGTCTCTTCTTGGGGTCTTGGTCCCAGCAGCATTTCATCAGGTCCAACATCTGATGGGCCTCCTCTGGCCATTTGGCAGAGACAGGCTGCAAGGGGTGGGAGGCCCTCACGCCTGCAGCTACCCGGATAATGATGCTCATCACATTGAGCCCTACAAGGGAAGATCCAGGCTGTGCAGGTTTCCAAAGCTGAGAACAGAGTGCTGGCAAGTGGGCAGAAGCTGGAAGAATCCTGACAGAATGGGAATACAGTAGGTGCCCTATACATGCTCAGGGAGTAGACAACAGAGTCTCAGACCTCCTTGAAGCTCCGGTTGAGCAGCTGGGTCGCTGATCCAGCTCTAGCCAAGACTCAGCATGATCCCCACCTCCTTTTTCTGTGCAAGGGCAGCAGAATTGACAAGCAGGCCTGGGGAAAGGCTTCAGCATTCCACACTTTAAAGTGCAGGGGGCTTGGGTTGTTAGGATCTGTGAACAAGGTCAAGGCTCATGTTTGCTTACTATACCATAGGTTCTAGCATTTGTGGGATAGAGGAAGCAGAGTAAAAGGTAGAAATTGTGAGGAGCTCACGCCATGGTTCACACAATCCATTATTCCTCTTGTGTTCTCCAACCTCAGCCTCCCACAGGCATAGAGCCATGAGCATCCGTTATGTGTATATGGTTTATTTTGCATGAGAATCTCCCAGAATGACAGTCCCAAAGCTGTAATGAGGAATATATTAGCTGAGAGACAGAGGAGTATTCATGATCCCTAGCCAGAGGGACCCTGCCGTCTCTACAATCTCAGGTGAAGCCTCTCCAGGTCCTTCTCAACTCTTTCCCTCCATCAGCACCTGGAGGAGCTGTTTATGGTCATTGTCCTGCCCTACCTGTTGGCCATAGGGACCTGGCTGGGATAACAATCCATCATATGACTTACAGCCTAGCTGCCCACTCATCTGTGTATAACATATTCAGGCCCTGGAGCCTTGCTATTCTCCAGGAACGTTTCAAGAGGAATGCCACTGAGTGTGCCCCTCAGAGCCAATCTCTCAGTGTACTGCATGTGGGTTGACGGCTCCATCCACTTGGTCAGGCAAAAATCTGAAATCGGAAAGAAAACCAAATGATGCCAAGGACAGGGTAGCAACAGCCACCTTCCAGAGGCCATCTGCAGCTCCTCCCAGCTGCCTTCATCAGTATATGCTCTTTTTGTACACCACATATACATTCAACTTCACTGCCTCCCAGCTCTACTACCCTCTCCCAAGGGTCTTGAACCTGTCATTCATATTTTCCAAGCCCCAGTTTTCTCATCTGTAGGATGAGACCCTGTTTACTTCCAGGTGCCTTGTTTTTCTCGTTTCCGTGGGTCCTGGGACACACAATATCTGTTTATCCTTCTTTGCCTCCAGCCATTCAGACTGTCATTTACCATTCATTAAGGGACAATGAGATGGGGTTCAGAGACACCTTTTAAAACCATACACCAGCATGATGGGTGGGCATTCAGATAGCGTGTTCATGCATTAAGAACAAGTCTCATTCATTTTTGAGACCCTTTTCCTGCTTCAGGGAGCTGTTACTCCTCTTTGCTCAACCTTAAAAAACAAGCCTCATTGAATGCTTCTATACTGCAACTAGGATCAGCAAGATGAAGTAACAAAGATTTCACGGGAGTATGTAAGAAGTATATAAGCATATATTGAGATAGATTGAGAAAGGTCTCCTCAAGGAGGTGATGATCAATCTGAGAGCTGAGATATGATTAAGACATTGTAGATAAAGAGAGTTGGGAAACAGAATGTGCAAAGGCTCTTGAAAGCATAAAGGATAATGAAGGTTTCGAGCACTGAAGAAAAAGGCCATTGTGACTTAATAAAAATTTCCTTTATACATATCCCTTCTCCAGACAAATAACGTGAGGGGTAGAGTTATTCTATCAGTCTTAGAAGTGTGGCCCAGAGAGCATTGTTAAGGGCACCAGAGTCCACAGTCTCACGTCACCATGTTGTCTGCTCACCCATCTCTGTTTTACTATCTAGCCGAACAGAATATGGCTCAAACTTTTAGCGGGTTCAGTGATTGGCAGGTAGATAATCCTGCTACATGGAAGAGGTCTGGCATACATCACCTTGACATGCATGTTGTTGTCTGGCAGGATGTTGCTTGGCTTGAGGTCCAGGTGGAGCAGGGATGGCTTAAAGCTGTGGAGGAACTTCATGGCCAAGCTGGTCTCATGGATGATGCAGCACTTGAGTGGCTGCTGAGGCTGTGGGTAGGTAGTGTCTTCTCCAGGGCCATTAACTCTATCACAATGCTAGGGGCTGCTTGCATACCCCATAGATGGACACAAAGTCTTGAAACTTCATCGTCTCCATTTTGACTGCTTCTTCAAAGAGACAACTCATCTCAGAGCTTTGGAAAACCAGAGATGGGATGGAAGAAAGGGAAACACTAGTAAACTGGGCTACAGGCAGAACATATCAACTCAGCAGGATGCAAGCTGAGGAGACCCAGAGAAACCTCATAAGCTTGCGAGGTAGTGGAGAGCAGTGAGACTATAGGAATATCCCAGGCAGCCAGGATTGGGGCTCAAGCTGTTATCAGTGAAAAGGCAAGGGGTTTGCAGGCTTGGGAGTCCATGCATCCTGCAGAGCCAGCCATAGGAAGCCGGGAACACAGCCTGCCATTTATCCTGCCCATTTGCTTTCATGTGCATCTCCCGTAGCAGCTTTTGAGCCCCTGGAAGACCAGCATTATGCTTCATGCTTCTATTTTGAAATAACATCTATTACTATTTTGATTATGAAAATAATACATTCAACTCATAGAACGTCTAGGAGATACAGAGAGGTGTAAAACAGAAAATTAAACCACCAGTAATCCAACCTTGCAGAGCTGGTCTCGACTAACATTTTAATGTATACTTTTATGACGTTTTCCAGGAATTGCTTTTCCGTTTCTCCCTCCCTTTTGTTGCCTCCTTCCTTTCTCTAGCTTCCCTGCATTGTTAGTCTATGGAAGCAGGGTAGTCCGTGCTATGGATGAACTATAATCAGAACTCTTTGCCCCTCCCTCACCCCCACGCCAAACAAGCACTGCACAATATTTCTTTGTGGAAGAGAGCTGAAGTCAAGACTTAAAGGGGAGCCCTGTAAAACAAGTACCGTGGGCCCCTTCTCTCACTTCGCTGTGTGTGCCCACAGAATTGCAAACATGCAAATCGTGAGAGACTGTTTGGGAATTGCAGGGGTAGGGGTTAAGGCGGAATGGCATCTTGAAAAAGCAAGATATCGTCAAAGCTGTGCTGGTGCTGCAGTGGGATGCTGCTGACAGCTGACGAGATGCTCTCAGGGTCACCCTGGGAAACCAGCCAGAGGGTCTGGCCTCTAGGAACATCTCCTGTTCTGCAGGCATCTGAGTAACTGGTTATTTCAGGGTTAGCCTCCTTTAACCCTTCTGCTATTCCAGACAGCTCAGGGATGTTTTTAATCCTCTCTCTTTCTCTTGGGTACCGGAGTAGAAACCAGAGTAATCTCTGCCTCGAGGTGGACAAATTATGGCTGCTTTAGAAAGCACTGACCTGACCTCAAGGCTTAGTTCTATCACTTGAGATGTGCGTGACTTTGGACAATTCTCAGGGCCTCACATCTTTGCTTAGTTTCTGTCTCTTTGGCTCCAGTTCCCATTGCCCCAAGCCCTCAGCAGGCAGTGCAAACCTCTGCTCTTATGCTAGCCTTGGCCACATTCCCCTGCATCTCCTCCAGTCATTCTGCCCCTCTTCTCTGTCTCCTTTGCTAATTAAGGATGCACGGACCTTGCAGTCGGTTCAGGCTCTCTGCTCATCCCACCTCACATTCCAATTTCTCTGTTCATGATCAGCATCTTCAATCAGACATTTGATGCTTAATACTTCATGTGTCTGAAGCTTGACTCTTCCTCTCCCAGTAAGACTGCCTTATGCATCCCAGCCAATGCGCTCTCCACCCTCCAGGCCTCAGACAGGTCCTAGATTCCTCTTTGACCCCTGATTTCATTCCCACAACAGTTCCATCCAACGGCTTTCTTCTGCCTCAGAGCAGAAGACACAGATCTCTCAAAGCCTGACAAAGGTCCTTGTGGGATCCCCCATCTTCACTCGTGACACAGCTCCCTGAGCTCATTACTTCCTAACCCATCCTCCTTTCTCTGCCCATATGCCAAGCACATCGCCCCTTCAGGAACTCGGCTTGTGCTGTTTCCTCTGCTTAGAATACCTTCACTCACAGAACCAAGTGGCCTGCCCATTCATCTGCTCCAAAGACAACCCAGATGGCCTTAATAGTGTTTCAGAGACAAGCCTCAATAAATGGCATCTCTACCTCAGTTCTATCACCTTTTATCCCTGCCACATGTGGGTGACCAAATCTATTCTTGGAAGATCCCATTGCTTAAGTCTTAGGTCTATCAGTCAAGAAAGTGTCTAGAAGTCCTAAGAGCTATAAATAAAAATTCTATTTGTTTATCTACTCATTGCTTCCTCTATTAGAATCTAATGAAGCAATAATCATAAAGCTCCAAATATAGCCATCCATACATAACACACACTAATTATAGTTGTTAATATTTTTATTATTCCTTTCCACTCTTAAAAACTTGGAAAGGAATATGGGGGGGGGTCAGGGAGATTTTATCATAGTTGCAGTATGGGCAGGTCAATACTATCTGCTTCCTTGTACTATTTCTTTTTTTTTAATTTTTTTCCTTGTACTATTTCTTAACATGTTTCTTCGCATGTGTGTGTGTGAGTGTGCATGTGCCACCACTCATATGTATGCATGTGGAAGTCACAGGACAACTTGCAGGAGTCACTTTTCTCCTCCCACTCTTTGGGCACTGGGGATCTCACTCAGCCATCAAGCTTGGCTGCAAATGTCTTTATTTGCCAAGCCATCTCACCAACTTTCCTTCTGCTCTTTATTTCAAGACTATACATGGTATGGACAAATCTCAGAGTTGTCAGAGTTCCAAAGCCGAGTACTCTATGCAGAGAAGAGCTAGTACAAAAGCTGCTGCTGGAGGCATTGTCAAATCACAGAAAACCTAACAAGCACCATCTAAGTAGGAGTCACTGAGTTTCCGGTTGATGTTCCAAGAGGCTATATGGGAGGACATGTTTTCATACTCAGGCCTAGCTTCTCAGATGTTTCCTTCCAGGCTGTGAGGGGAAGCACATAGCAGGAACACACAGCGAAGCCAGGGGCAATAAAAGAAAAGCATGGCTGTAACCCACACTGTGACAGCCAGGATCCAAAACACACAGATGTATGGGACTTTGCACTTGACTTTTCAGCAGGATTTATGTCAGCTGGCAAATGGCTTGGGTGGGTCCTGCCTTCAGTTTATCCCCCTTGGAAGAACAGCAGTGTGGTATTACTGTGTGATAGCAGTGTGATGTCTTACTGGGGCATCCCCTCTAATTCTCTCCAGCCTACCGGGACTGGCATGGCAAGAGAGAAGATGATAACCTACAGGTCATTGAGCAAACGTAGTACATTTCTTGAAAAGCTCAGTCCTGTCTAGGAAAGAAAGAAGAGGCAGAGTGTGTTTATGCATTATCACACAAGAGGAAGGAGCAGAGCAAGGTAAAGAGGCCAGACAGACGAAGGCATTTTTTGCAAGGTGGTTCCTACTCACTCTTGACCTCTTGAGATGCTAACAGCAGGTATTATTTACCTAATTATTGGGGCTCAAAAAAAAGAGCCTACTCTGGGGAATTCAGATCACAGGGCCCATTTAAAAGCACCCAGACAATTACCAGCCTCAACCCCAGTTCATCCCTTCCTCTGAGCTCCCTAGACCAAAAGCTTCTTCTACCTCAGTCTCTTCTTGTGTGGAAATGGGCTGTCAGCTGCCTGGTGGTTTCCTTCTGGAAGCACAGGGAACACTTGATGGCATGCTGGGTCCTCCAGTGCTTGGGTCTTGCCTGGAACACCTGGCTGAAGCCACCACTGCCTACTTGGTGACATTCTCCCCTCCCCTCTTTTTCCTTCTCCTCCTCTTCCCTCCTCTCTCTCCTTCTTCTGGAGCATCTGTCCCAGCTTCCTGAATACAATCCTTCCTTCCTGGGGCCATGCTCCCAGCTTGCTGCCTCTGCTTCCTGCTCTTCAGGGAGGGTGAGAATGGTCAGGCAAACCAGTGCTCCATCTTTCTCTACCTGCCAAGGTGGAGAAAACCAACCAGCCCAGAGCCTGAGGCTGCAGAAAGAGAAAGTGAGCCTTCCTGGGTGCGTGATCACTAAGGTCAAGGATGAGTGTAAGCCTTGTGGGTCAGTTCAGTGGCCCAGCAGTCCTGTAGTAATCTGGACACTGCTGAAAACCAATGGAGCTTTTCTCCAAACCAGAATAACAAGTCATTTGCATACAAATAAGTTGCCTTGTTTGTCTTAGGTCTCCACTCTACAAAGGTGTTGCAGAGGGTGTGATAGGTGAGCTCTGGCAGACTTCACCTCAGCTGTGTGCTGAGGACAGGGTTAGTCACCTTAAAGGAATGAATGCATTCAGGAAGCTAAGGCATATGTTCCCAAAGGAGGAGAAAGAGGAGGGGAGAGGAGGAGAGGGGAGGGGAGGTGAAGAGAAGAGATTAATTATAGCATCAATAGCTGGCTTTTTTCTCCTTTAGCAGTTATTAGGCCTTATATTTATTTTTCAGCTCTCTCTGGCTTTTTCCCCATCTGTAAAATAGAATTATTTGGCCATAGGAATATCCATTCACTCATACCTTATGCAAACATTAAATCTAACTGGAGCATGGACTTAAATATGAAATAGAAACATAAAACATGTAGGAAAAATACTCTTTTTCTTTCACTTTTTTTGAGACACGGTTTTACTATGAGTTTTAGATTGATCTTGAGATCACCATGTAACCAAGGCTGGCCTTGAACTCACGGTCCTCTTACCTCTGCTTCCCAAGCACTGGGGATTGCAGGTGAGCATGCCTCCACCTGGCCCTATAAGAAAATACTCCTGGCCCAGAGTAAGGAAAAAAAAAAAAACATGAGACTTAATACTACAAGCTGTTTCATAAGATTAAAATAAATTAAGAAACTTAACATCAAAATGAAACATTTGCACTCTGGGAAGGACCACATTAGATGAGGAGAAGATATACAGAGGGAGAAAATATTTGTGAACTTAATCCTGGATAACCATGTCCTGCTGGTTCCTAGTATATATAAAGATACCTTCAAAGTTAATGGCAAACTGGCAAGAATCATGACACGCAGTTATCCAGTTACAAAATGGAGAAGAGGCTCAAACATGTTTTCCTGGGGAAGCTATACAGATGACAAATAAGGACATGAGAAGATGCTCAGAGTCATAGCTAACCAGCAAGTGCAAATTGAAGCCACAGTGGGATGTCAGTGCACACGTAACAGAATGTTTAAATAAACAACAGGGCCAAACGCTGATGAGAAAATGGACCACATATGCATTGCTGGTGGGGATATAGGATGGCCCAGCCACTCTGCAAGGCAATGAGACAGTCTCCAAGACGATTAAATGTAGAATTACTAAATGAGTTGGCGATTGCCCTCTGGGGAAATAAATCTCAGAGAAATGAAAACCATATTCACATAAAAAACTGCACATGATGTGAATTGTTCCTATGGAATACTAAAAGTGTGTGAAATGGCAGAGCAGGTCAAAGGTTAAGCATGCTGAGGCGGCTGTACAATGCGGAGTGATTCTCAGCAACTGTTGACAGGCGTGATTTAGTGAACTGTAGGGAATGACAGTTTGAAAGGGTGAACTTATAGTATATCCCCATTCACAGCCCTGAAACGACACAGTTATAGGGATGGGAAACAGGGTGGTGGGTGTCGGAAGTGGGGTGGAGAGGAATGTGGATGAGCTGCAAAAGCCTTATGAGGAAACTATTCTCTGTCTTGACCTTGGTAGTGGCCCCATGAATCTACACGTGATGAAATCACAGCAAACTTGCGACAAATCTGCAAGAATAAAATGGGATTCATTTTCCAAGGTAACAGACGCACCTGGATGTGGTGGTACAATCTCCATGGGCTGGGCTCCTAGACTAAATTAAAAGGAGAAAGCAAGCTAAGCCTTAGAATTCATCTTCTCCTGGGCATGCAATGTGACCAGCCACCTCACACTCCTGCTGTTAGGTCCCTTCTGCAATGACGAAGTCTACCCTTAAATCAGGAGCCCGAATAAATCCTTCAGTCTGGTGGTTTGTCACAGCATGCAAGGTAGCTAATATAAACACTGGCAGAGCTGTGTCCAGGAAAAACACGTGAATGAGATCTTAAATAGAAATGGAGGAACACACAGAGCAAAGGCTACTTTTTCTTATACATTGGCAACAAATTTAACTGAATTCTTTCTGTGTCCCAGGATCTTGTGCAAGGTCCAAACTAAGAGCAATGAACGAGGAAATCTGGCAGAAAAACGGCCTAAGCTGCAGAGCGTTCATGCTGCTCAGGGCCACATACGGTGATCTGTGAGAACAAAGCGATGAGTTAGAGGCAGAACTTATAATTAAAAGTAAAACAGGGCATAGAAACCTGGAAAATCCAGTCTGGCCACACAAACGGGGAAAGTATGCAAGAGTGCAAGTGAGGAACTGGTTTCTAACTGTGAGATTAGCGTGGGAGGAAGGGAGCCAAGTGTGGCTCTTCAGAAGCACAGTGTGTGTGGAAGGGGCTTGGCAGGGCTCTGAAGTCATCTCAGAGATCCCTGAGGTTGTCTTTATCACCTTGAGTGCAGGATGGGATCACTGCCCAGGGCCACCTGGGGTCTCTGCTCCCTAAATCTGGCATAACATTCTTTGGTTAACTAATCATGGTTTAAACAGTCCCAGTCCTAGGAACAGCATGTGACTCAGGAACCGAAGGACAAACTGTGTGCCTCAGTGGTACACACTTGGTGGTGTTTCCACAGGCAAATAATGCAGGATCCATTGAGTCATGGCTTTCCTCCACCTAGACCTCAATGGGCACATTCATAGACATGAAGCAATGGACATGAACCCCTAAGAGGACCACGCTGAAAAGAAATGTGGAGTTCAAACTTCTGCAGAGTCCCCAGGATCATCTGTGGTTGAGCCACAGTGACCAGAGTCCTGTTGTGACCTCCAAAGTATATAGCCGTCAAAATGTAAAACCTGCTTTAGAGCGCTGCAATCATCAGAGTTCAATCTGAGAGGAGAAAGTCCAGAAAAACTATAGGATCCGTGCTATCTCTGCAGGTCCAAACCACTTAGTATATCTAAAGAGGAGGCCTTTGAAGTGGAAGATTGCCTTCCAGGTTTAAGATTTAATGTCTGCTGTCTTGGGTTTTGGACTTGCTTGGGGGAACTGATACCCCTCCCTTTCTTCAAGTCTGTGTCTCAAGTCCTTTGCATTAGGAATACTTACTCTAAGCCTGTTTTGCTACTGAACGTTATTTTTTTTAATATTTATGTGTATGCATGTGTAGGTGTGTATATGTACATATGTACGCAGGTGCCAACAGAGGCCATAAGAGGGCATCCAATTTCCTGGATGTAGAGTTACAGGCAGTTGTGAGTTGCTTGACATGAGTGCTGGGAACCAAACTGGTTCTCTTCAAGAACAGCTCTTATCATCTCAAGATGGCTCTTAACCACTGAACCATCTCTCCAGGTCCCTGTCATTGAACTTTAGAAGGGAATTGCTTTTATTGGCTCACAGTTAGACTCCAGGCTACCAAGCTAAGATGCTGTGAATTGTCTGGATGGAATCACAGGGTTTATCCCTGTGAAAAGGAGTGCCTGGGGACAAGATGCTACGGGTTTATCCCCCTCTGAATCGCATATTGAGTATTGGGCAGTGGGGGCAAGGTGAGCATTAATAGGAGATCAAGCTGTTAAGAGGGATTAACACTACTCATGGAACTGAGTGAACTCTTGCAGGAGTGAGTGCGTGCTCTACAGTGACTGGGTAAGTTACCGTGGGAATGAGCTTGGAAGCACCAGCTGCTTTCTGTGGCCGATTCTTCTCTCATCGCTGTGATCAAAACACTTGAAGGAAGCAGCCTAAAGCAGGGGAGGCTTGTTTTGCCTCTTGACTCCAGGGAATTCCAATGTCTCCTAGTAGAAAAGGCATGGTGGAGCCCATCCATGGCTGCAGGAGCTATGGCTCCTCACAGAAAGTACAGACTAGAAATCCTGGGGGTGGGGTTCCCAAATCAGAAGTGAATCCAACCTTCAGGGCCTACCCTTGAGTGAACCACTTCTACTAGCCTAGCTAGACCACATTACCAAAAGATCCAGACCTCTCCAAACAGCACCCCAGCTGGGAATCAAGCAGTCAAGTCCTTAAGCCAGGAGGGGACATTTTACATTCAAACCCTGACAGTTGCCATGTCTGTCTCTTCAAAGTGACTGCTTGCTTTTCCACACTCCAGCCATGCTATGACTCAGTTCAAGGCCCTGAATAGATGCATCAGTACAATCTAGCCTCTAGGACTTGAACAGAAATAATCCATTATCCTTCATAAATGATTTAATCTGTGGTATTGGGGTATAGCAACAGAAAATGACCTAGTCAGCAGCACCTGAAATACGAGACATAAGCATAGAAGAGGCATGGTTCACCAGAAAAACCATGGTGTTGTTACCAGAACAGGGGGGATTTCTCCTGCAACCTGAGAATCAAACAACCCATTGGTAAGTCTCCAAGGTAAAAAAAAAAAAAAAAAAAAAAAAAAAGCAAACCAAAGGCCCAGGCCCAAAGCAATAGGCTGGCTGTATATCCAGAGCTTGTTTGGATTGAACTGGGGTCCCTGTTGTTTGGTTGGTTTACATTGGGCCCAAAGCTTCTCTAAAAGCAGCCGACTGGGGGCCAGTTTTTCTAGCCGCCCACTGCAGAATATTTGCCACCGCCTCTGCAGAGAGGATTTTCTGTTCTCAGTGCCGCCAGTGATAACAGCAGCAGTCCCTTTATTTGAAATGTCCATGTTTCAAAGCCATTCCTAGCTTAGTCCATGACCTGAATTTTGTACGATTCCATTAGTTCTAAGAGGCAAAAGAGAAGGAGAAACACTTATTTCTTTGTTGCTGTTTTAGTGATCTGGAGGCTAGATATGTACTGCAATCAGGACCACAATACTAAACCCACAGGATTTAAATGGTGAAAGTCTCCTAGATAAACAAGGAAGGGCAAGAGGAGATCAGATCTTCTTAGAAGTTATTCATGACTGTTCAAAATGGCCCCCTTCCACCTAAATGGCTAAATAGGATGGGTTAAATTCTCTTCATACAATTAACACTTGTCTATCTTAGTTGATTTTTCCATTACTATAACAAAATATCTGAGGCTAAGTGTCTTTTCTAGGAAAGGATTCTTTAAGAACTGAGCGTGTAGTCTTGCCTGTCATGCACAAGCCACCATTGGAGTCCTCAGTTCCACCACCACGAGAAGAAGGAGGAGGAACGGGGGGGGGGGCAGAGGAGGAGGAAGAGGGAAGAAGAAGGAGGAGGAAGAGGACGGGGAGAATTTTTAATGGAATCATTAACAAATGAATGGGTGAAGACAGTCTATACAATGGACTTTCATTCAGTCATTAAAAATAAAACTGTGCATCTTGCGGCAAAATGAATGGAGCTGGGAAACATCATATATCTAGATTATGAAATACAAATATCACATGTTCTGTCTCATATGTAGCTCTACGTTTAAAAAAGACATGAACGTTAAGGGGGACCTTTTGAGAAGCAGAAGGGGATGGGTAAGGAGGGAAAACAGAGTGGGTAAGGTGGATGGCATATCATCAAAGTATGATTTTCATATATATATATATACATATATATGAAAAAATATATGAATATATATATATATCATCATGAGACTCATTATTTTGTACAATTAATACAGGCTAATAATGTTATTTAGTGCACAATTCTGAACGTCCAAAATCATAGTGCTTAGATCAGCTTGGCTCACAGATTGCAAGACGGGGAGGGAGAGAGATGCTGGGGCCCCACCAGTAGGGACTGTACTAGTTCCTTCAAAGGGATGTCTCCAATAACCCAGCAACCTCCTGCTAAGTCCCATCTCTCTCTATTTAAAACAATTGCCTAATAATTCACAGAGAATACAATTTGTCTATCATATAATTCAATGGTTCATAATGTTGTTCACTGGCCTCCACCACTTTCAAAGTTAGAACATTTTTGACGGCTATATATACATATACTGTGCGTCTCGATCCCATCAGTCCTTCTCCATTACCCTCTTATTACCCAACCCCTGACCCTCTTCATCTCGGTTAGTCTTCTTCCTGCTCTCATTCGTGTACTTTGTGCAGCTTCTCTCCAGGCCGCCGCCATGCGTGTTCATGCTGGCAGCAGCCAGAGAACATGCAGAAAACAGAGTTTCACACACACTCTTCCTCATCTGCCGGGTCTCACGCACTTTGTGCCCACCCTCCCACAGCATTCCTTGAGCCGTGGAGGAGGTGATGTGATAGCAGAGAAGCCAAAGTCACAACCTTTCGTTAGCTTGAAGGGCCCAAGCACCCTCTCTATGCCTGCACTAGAGAGGGCTAATCCTTCCTTCTCCCATCATGGCATGCTTCTGTAACATCGGACATGGGGTGCATGAACCAGGGGCTGAGACCTTGCCAGCATCAAGAGGCGTTGCCTTTGCATATACTCTGTTTTCTGACTTGATGATAGCCTGCTCTGATTGCAATGGAAGGGCTGGGGAGAGGCCCCAGCCAAAGGAGAGCTTACTGGGCCAGCATGAAAGCTTGAGTTCAGATCCTCAGCACCCATGGAAGAAGCAGGACACGGTGGTGCATGCCTGAAATCTCAGTGCTGGGAAGGTAGAAACAGGTGGATCACTGGAATGCACTGGCCAAGCAGTCTTGATTTATCAATCAAATGATTAAACACTGAACTTCATGTTTAGTGAGAGCCCTGTCTGCTCTTGCAGAGGACACGGGTTCAATTCTCAGCACCCACACAGTGGCTAATAGCTGCCTATAGCTCCTGCTCCAGGGTGTTTGATGGCCTCTTCTGACCTCCACAGGGACCAGACACATGTGGCAAACAGACATACATGCAGGCAAAATATTCATACAGAAAAAATAAATAAATATATAAAACATAAAAATAAACAAGGTAGAGAGCAATTGAGGGAGATACCCTTAAACTCTGGTCTCCCCATGCAAGCATACATGCACATACATGAACATGCAGCATATCACACAAACACATGCACAAACACAAGTTACAGTAGAAGCAGATGAAAGACTAGGACCCATTTTACCCAAAGTCGTGTTGGATGGTGAAGCACAGTGCGTAGCACATAGTAAGCGTCTAATAATGTTTATTGAGGAAGGGAAGGAGGGAAATTCCAGGGATGTGCAATCATTTCAATAACTGGCTAAGCTGCTGTTGATAGCCACACAGACATCAGGCTCCTGTCCGTCTGAGGAAGGAAATCAGACACTGAAATGGAAATCTCCATCTTTTTGAAGATGAAACTGGCTTCTATACATTGGCAACCACCCCACGTGTGCGGCTAATCAGATGGGAAGGTAATCCTTCACCGTGCAAGGACTTAGGCTGTTATCTAACAGACTGTTGATGGATTAGCAAGGCTTTCTGATAAGACATTAAAGGAGTTAAAGTTTTATTCCCTTTCATGCTGGACACAGGCCCAGGAAGTAGGCGGAGACGCCCAAGCTAGGGCCGGGTGCTGGTTGTGGTGCTGTCCTATTTCCTAAGGAAATTCTGGACAAGACATTGCCTCTCTAGGTTTTCAGCTTCATGTGGGAGCAATGGCACCTGCCTGGTAGGGATGTTGCACCAATGAAGTGCACTCATTGAGACGAAAGGCCTTTGAAGAATTTGAAAGTAGGTATCTGTGTGAGGATGGCATTACTCAGAGCAAAAACAGAGACTGCTGGGCTGGGGTTTGGCTCCAGACTCCAGGCCTTAGGCCTCCAGTTGCTCACAAGCAACAAGAAGAGGCAGCCATGCCAGGACTTTTGAAGGATAATCCGGTAGCAACCATATACATATGGGGACTGTGATCACCAATGGTATCTGATTATGGCTTTTGGGAGCCAAAGGAGACAATGCCAGGATAGAGAGAAAGCCTCTCTCAGTACTGATGGTTCATGCAATTGCTCTTGTGAGCAGGGTGAACGGCAGAGCCAAGCCCTGCCCTCAGGTCCTACAGTAAGGTTATTATGATCCTCCAGTCTGTGTCCAGTTCTCTTTGTCTGGGCCCCGAGATTTCCCATAAGAAAAATTCTAGCCACCTTAATGAATTTAATTCTATTTAGGAAACAAACAAACAATAAACAAAACAAAAAAAATGAGCTTCAAAACAAGGAATATTTCAAAGTCCATTACACCGCAGAAATTAAGAGAGAAGATGGGGAATGTGAGCTGGAGAGGACTTCATGTGAAGTAGAGGGATGAGGGACGGAAGGAGGGAGGAAGGGAAAGAGGGAGGGAGTAAGGGAGGGGGAAGGGATGAGAAGCAGCTTGAACCACGTGTTTAAACATTGAATGCCTCAGTTCCCTCCTCTGTAAGGAGGGCCCAGATCTAGTCACCACTTCATTAAAGAGAACCTATAACTTAGTATTTTGACAAAACATGTCTGTCGATATGCTGGAGCTGTGTGTGTGTGTGAGCGTGCGCATGCGGAATTTAGAGAAGAAAGTAGACTGTCTTTTGGAAAAGAGCAGAGGACAGCAGGTGCGGAAGGCGAGGGAGTGAGTGTATCCAAGCAAATAGTAGGAAAACAGGAGGAGAGGGGCACAGTGGGGCAGCTGTCACTCAACCAACAATACCCAGGCTTCTCTGAAGTGCTGGAACATTGCAGTGAACCCCAAAGGTATGAAACCTAGGGAGGAAATAGAGGTAGGAACAAGAACATGACCCTAAGACTACCTTCATTTTAAGGTTCAACAAGGCTACAATGGATGGTTTACGTACAAAGGCCACATCAGACTTTATCAGCTTTATAAGGAAAAATAATTTGAGGGATAATAATGGATGGGCATGTTTAAATTCGACCTAAACCTTCCGAGTCGCAGCTTTTACTTACATGCTGATAAAAATTCCCATGTTTCATGATCCCTGAGAAGAGCCTGCAGGGATGTCCCAGGAGGGACATCTGTGGAGTAGCTGCACCAATGTAACAAAGTCAATCCCATTCTTCAAAGACTGTTGTGTGCCAAGCACGGTATGGGGAGCTTTATAGGAATCACCATAATTAATCCTCATGGCAACCCTGTCCTATCCCCAACAGCATCACTTTTTATGAGCAAGGCATCGAAGGAGTCAAGCCAACTCAGCGCAAGGCTCTGAGATCACAGTGGGTTGAGAGAAACTTTGCATTTGCACTCTGATCATAGGAGGGCTGCCAAAAGGTCTCCTGGCCTTTTGTCCCACACTTCTTTGATTGGGCCGTTGTCCAACTAGGGGACAGATACTAAAGATTCCTCACCTGGCCCTTCTGAGTCAGAGCTTCTTTGCTGTAAGACAAGAAGGTATAAGCTAGACATCGCGGGTTAGTGGCTTGATGGAGGCAAATCAGATAGATTCCGACTAAGCGGAACCTGGAGAGATGAACCCTGACTAAAATTAAGCCAGCATGGGCGAAGGCGTCATTTTTCTTGTCATACATACCGTAGCCCTCACTCCCTTAGCCTGCCTGTGATCCAGCCTAAATTTGCACCGCACCTTGGCTCACGCATATCCATATGAAAAACTCATCTCTCCGTTTCAGGAGATAAACTGTGTGGGCACGCACACATATGTGTGTGCGGCAGCCGGAGGGCAGGGGAGGGTCTGGAGGAGCAGATGGAACTGAGGGCAGGGGAGGGTCTGGAGGAGCAGATGGAACTATAGCAGATTAAAAGCACAAGTGTGAGGTTGGGGGTGGACACGTGACAGCGGAACGATGTGCAAGCGGATCTGAATCCGCACCTGCAGAACTCGTCACAGTGAGCAGTTTGTTGGAACTGGCTGGTAGCAAAAACCCAGTTCCAGAATTAGGAAGACCTGCCTCCCAGCCCCACACCTGGGGAGGCCTGAGGCTTGGGGGTGACCTGCAGAGGTTCTCAGCAGTTCTTCCTTCTGCTCTGCTAGTTCTCTGTGGGCTGCCTCTGCATCCTTTGGGGCTGAATCCTACAGCAGTCAGAGCCTGGTCTGTCTAAGGGCTAAAGGCCACCCACAAACCATTACTCTTTGTCTTTTGGAAACTGAGATTTCATTAGAGATCTCGTTAGGAAGGAAAGACCCATCCAGCTGATATCTGCACAAAAACACCTAAGGCTTAGCTTCTTTGAGGCTGCTGT